GGCTTTAAATACAACAACAACAACGCCACATCTAGTGAAATTGCATGCGAGCATCTGTGACTCTACCAAAGGCAAAAATATCACATCGTTTGGAAAGATTCAACCCAGAAGCTGATTCAGTGGGAGTGGGAGGATGTGATAATGGGGGTAGCCCTTTTCTGCAATCCTTGCTCAAGCGGAGTGGGCTCTTTGTCCCACGCGTTGTGTTGTTGAGATCAATTATGCTAATTGTGCGAATAAATGTCATTAAAAATGACAAAGGGTTGCAAAAATTTTAGTCCCGTTGTGTGTGGCTTTCAGGAATGCAGCTGTCACAATGTGTTTTATATTCCATTTATTTGCACAATCTGAGCAAACAGCCTGTAGATTTGCACAGCGGTGTCACTCTCCTAATGCCCTCGAGCCATTTATCGAGGTGTGCCAATGCACACAGTAGAGCCGTGTAAGCAAGCCGGAGCATACGGCATGTATTTACCAAGGCGTGCTGAGCAGCGTGGGCTGCTGGGAGAGTAACAGGCTTTTGCTTCTTGGGATGCATTCGGATGTCTACTTTCTGTGCTGAGGCTGGCATAAGGTTGGCATGGCTGGGCACTGGCTGAGATCCACAGCCTTGCAGCAGAGGGCTCCCCGGCGAGAGGAGAGTCTGGGTTGACCTCTCATTTCCCTGTGGGAGAAGTGCCGGGAAGCAGAATGCGAGAGAATTGCCTTCTGCTGCCTCCCCACCAGCCCAGAGACCACTACAGTGGCTCTGTCTTGCTCTTTTTAGACCTGTCTAAGGTCAGATTAGGAGCTGCGGTGGCTCAAGGGGTTAAGACGCTGAACTGCAGGCTGTGGAAGGTCGGTAGTTCAGCAGTTCGAGACCCGAGTGTGCCGCATGACGGAGTGAGCTCCCGTCTCTAGTTCCAGCTCCTGCCAACCTAGCAGTGCGAAAGCAAGAAATAGCAAGTAGATAAATAGGGACCACTTCGGTGGGAAGGTAACAGGGTTCCGTGCGCCTTGGTGTTGAGTCATGCCGGCCACGTGACCACGGAAACGTCTTCGGACAGCGCTGGCTCTTCGGCTTTGAAACGGAGATGAGCACCGCAACCCTAGAGTCGGACTCGACTGGCTTTCGAGCAAGGGAACCTTTACCTTTTTAAGGTCAGATTGGTAACACAGTCACTACTCTTTACAGCTTGGGTTGTCTGAGAGGCCAGCGCAAGCGTTCTGAAGCTTGCTTTCTTGGCTCCATTTGTCTGGGGAGAAGCATAGATGTTGTACACCCATCAGCTGTATACGGTGTGTTCCATTGGCTGCTCATTGGTCAGGGCGGAGCTTGTCATCACTGTTCTGCTTCCTCCCTCATTCTTCCCACCAAACACCTGAAAAGGGCTGTGGGACAGTACAGCTCAGATGCACCACGCACTGGTATTATTGTTGTTATTGCTCTTGCTATTATTACTACAACTACTGCTATTATTAATCACTACTATTAGCTGTAGTTGTGGGCTGATTTTATTTATTTATTTATTTATTTATTTCCATTTATACCCCGCCCTCCCCGCGTACGGGCTCAGGGCGGCTTACAACCATAGGGCACAAAAGTGCAATAAAATACAATAAAACACAATTTAAAACAATTTATACCTGGGAACCCAAGGATCCCGCGTGACTAGACAACCCTCACTCCAGTATTGCACAACCCTATCCATTCAAGGGGAGGTTACTGTGGCCCCCTGAAATTATTAGCCACTTAACCTCCGGCGGTGCTGTAGAAATGGTCCTCGTTGGTGGAAGTGGTAGCGGCGGCGGCTCCTATTCGAAAGCCTGGCGGAAGAGCTCCGTCTTGCAGGCCCAGCTATAATGGCTCCCAAGGCAGTTTACAATTAAAACATAATCATTTGCAACTAAATTTTTAATTTCCAAGATACTCAGAAAGCCCAAGTGGGACATGGATGTTTCTTCTTCCTGTAATTTGGGAACGTTAAGTTCTGTCATTCTTGTTTTCCTCGGTATGTTACCCTTGGGAACAGGGAATGGAGGACGATGAACTGAAAAAGCAGAGACTGTAAATAAAGACTTATTGCTTCCAGACTGGTTGACACTTTTTTTCTGACGAATCATTAGCAAGTAACTTCCAATTCTGCAGCCGTCCATTCAGAAGATGCCCAGCTGTTCAGTATGTTTATTGTGCCACTCAATATACCATAGTCTCCCTCCTCTTCTCCGCGTGGAGAGCTCATGTCTCAAACTGCTGTAGTTGTCCTGATGCTGGGAAAAGATTTTATTTGAGGATCAAATTTCTTCAGTTTGACTTAAGAGTTCAAGTTTAAACAAGAAAGCAGGAAAGAAAAAGAATGCATTTGAAAACACATTTGTTTATTTAATGAATTCAGTTTCTGTCCTGCCCTCCCCGCAAACAGGCTCAGGGTGGGTTACAAGGCCACACCAAAAATCGTGACAACAATAACATGTAAGTTAAATAATTAAAAGCAACATTTTAAAACAATGATTAAAAACAACAATCAGCACGAAAAGCCTCCTTAGCTGTGCTCCGTTTGATCAGAAGCCAGCAAATTCATGTTATTCTTACCTTATAAAAACAGCGTGGGTAGGTTTTGCAGATCACCTTATGTCAGACTCTTGCCCAGACTCACTCCCAACAACGCTCTTCTTTTAGTGATTTGTTTATTGAGATATGTAGTTGTGTCAAGTAGAGACCATCTGTGTCAGAACTGACTAAGCTGACGCCAGTCCTGGTATTATACGTGATTCAAACAACACCTCCCCAGTGACCTGTCCAAGCAATCCATTCACGCATCCCGGCTAAACTAGTTCGCACTCCTTCCCCCACACCCACCTGCAAACCTAACAGTTTCATCATCTACAAAGGCCAGCTGGAAGAGACAGGCGTTCAAGGACATTCGCATTCTTCCCATACGGGAGGCCCCTTAAGAAAACAGTTATGCAGTGCTAAGCGAAGCAGGTTCCCACACACCCCCACACACTCACCAACTGGCCCCCTGATAGCCCAGATACAGAATGGTTACAGGAAAATGAAGACAGAGCACAACACCCCATGGCAAACGAGGCCCCGAGTTTGACACCTTAAGCTAGGCCTTGGTGATGCCTGATTCTAGATCATCACTGCAGCCCTTGCATCCAAAAATAAGTATTTTCTGCTGCACAAGATTTATGAATCAATGAGCTTCTAAGGGAATACAGGGAAAGGAAAGATCACCACTGCTGGCGGAAGTTTGTTTGTGGTGCCACAGCCTGTAATCTCTGTTACAGAGAAAGGGGGAGTGAGCCCTTAAAAGGAATGTCCTGCAGAACTTCTAGCACAGATCTAATTTGTTGCTAGGGTATGAGCAGTGCCTTAGTAGGGAACTACTTCTTTCTCCTACCATAGCTAGGGAAAGCCGCAGGCAGGCAGGTGGCTGGGCTTGGTTGGGTACACAAAGGAAAGTGACCCCCCCCCCCTCAGGGTGAGAGTAGGAGACTCCTGGCCTGGAGAGGAAACAAGAAGTCTTTAAATCTTCAAGGCAACTTTTCCATTGAAGTTGGAATCTTTCAGAGCATAAACAATAAAACAGATAGTGATTAATTTCATATTCAGATTTGGGGTATTATTTCTGCATTTGGAGTACGTCTTGTTGAAATTTTGTTAGCACAGGTTGCTAGATTTACCACTTTTGCACCTCTGTCTTCCACTGCAGGTCTGTAGAAATTAAATCTCTCGGTTGTGTGTGGGGGTGAATGCATCTTGGCGTTAATGCACGTAACATGTAAATTCCCACACATCGATGCTAATATGCCGTGTCATGCATCATAATCGTGTCACTTCAGCATCCTCAGGGTAACACGATGTAGCTAGTTTTGAACGGTCAATGGCAGATTGCAGGAGCATTTTCCCATAAGGCTGTGAGCAGTCGAAGGGGAAAAGAACGGGAGGAAAGAGAAACGCAGTCTGTTTTCAGCCTTGCCTAACGTGTCCTCCTTGCAAGGAACAAGTCCTATAAAACTTCCTGCCCCCCATATTCTCCATCATAACTGAAGCACTGGTCTCCACTACATTGACTCCTCTCTCACCTTGCGGGGGGGGGGGTTGTTAAATACCTTCTATGGGTTTTCTTCTTCTGGTCCTTTCTCTAATTGTAGCGGCCCAGTTGATGGGCTCACGCACACCTTTGAATGGGGCTTGGGCTAGGGGTACAAACGAACCAGTGCACGCGAGGGCTGCTTACTCAAGCCATTTCAAGCTGGATCTCAGGCTGAGGAGCCCGGCAGGTTCTCCAGAGGAGCCTGCCCTCCTGTCTTCCAGCAGCAGCCTTTGTCTCTTGTTGACAGCTGTTTAACTGGGGGGAGGGGGTGTAACTGGAGCCAATGTTCCCTCTAAGCTGTGGAGTCTTGTGAGCGAAAATTCCGCTTTGTGAGCGACTGGCATTAAAGTTGTGAGCGGGCGATTTGGCCGCCGCATAAATTAGTTTGCTCCGGAGGCTTCCTTCCTGAGCGAAGACAAAAATCTGTGAGCGGGAGGCTAAAAAACTGTGAGCTGGCTGTGGTGGCTCAAGTGGTTAAGACGCTGAACTGCAGGCTGTGGAAGGTCGGTAGTTCAGCAGTTCGAGACCCAGGTGCCGCAAGACGGAGTGAGCTCCCGTCTCTAGCTCCTGCCAACTTAGCAGTTCGAAAGCAAGAAATAGCAAGTAGATAAATAGGTACCACTTCAGTGGGAAGGGAACAGCGTTCCGTGCGCCTTGGTGTTTAGTCATGCCGGCCACATGACCACGGAAACGTCTTTGGACAGCGCTGTCTCTTCGGCTTTGAAACGGAGATGAGCACCGCAGCCCTAGAGTCGGATTCGACTGGCTTTCGAGCAAGGGAACCTTTACCTTTACCTAGCTCACACTAACTCAGCTTAGAGGGAACACTGAACTGGACATGTGAGGGAAACCCCCCCCTCCCGCACTGTGTCCATAAGCACTCCTGAGATGCCTTGACTGTGTTTTGTTTCCAAACAGGAAAAGCCAACAACAATGTTCAGTGGGACGAGGACTCCATAGAGTACCTGGCGGCCAACCCTGTCAGAATTGCTTTTGTCTTGGTTGTTCATGGCAGAGCTTCTCGGCAGCTGCAGCGCATGTTTAAGGCTATTTACCATAAAGACCATTTTTATTACATTCATGTCGACAAGGTAATATATCATCGGTTATAAATTGCCTGTCTCGGCATCTGTCTGTCTTCTCATCCTTGCCGCTTCCTCTCTCCCTCTTTGGTCTTTGCTGCATCCCTTGTGATGGTGTTGCTTGTTGTGGTTTTTTTCCCATATGTCAAATGGCTTCTGCCTTGGGTTGAGCTGTGGCTCAGTGGCAGAGCCCCTGCTTTGCACGCAGAAGGTCCCACGTCCAACCCCCAGCATCTCCATGTGGAAGACCTCTACCTGGAGAGCTGCCTTGACCTTTGGTAGCCCAGGGTTCCGACTCCATATGAGGCAGTTTTGTGCATTCAGACATCTCCTGCTGTGGGAGGTCCTTAGCTCAGTCGTAGAGGTTATGCTTTCAATTGAGACGTCCCCAGATTCAGTCCCCAGCAAAAGAACTTCAGGTAGCAGATGCTCAAGGAGATGCTTCTGGGTCAGCATTGCTGGGGTGAACAGACTTTTCCAATAGAGTACAAGGCCTAATACGGAGGGTCTTAGTTCAGTGGTGGAGCATTAGCCTGGCGTGCAGGAAGCCCCTGGGTTCAAGCCCTGTCATTACCAGTTAAAAGGATCAGGTAGGAGGTGATGTGAAAAGCAGCTGCCCGTCAGACAGTACCAGCCTTGCTAGATCAAGAGTCTCACTCGGTGGAAGGCAACTTTATGTGTCCGTGTGTGACTGTATATATGTTTGCATTGACTCTTTCCACCTCTTGATTTGACTGCCTTCGTCTGTCCGGTTAATGTGACTGTTGTATCTGTCCATGCCTTTCTGTTGTATGTTGTGGTAACCAGTAAGCCATGTAGAGAGTCTGATTGATATAGGAGCTTAAAATGGCATCGCTGTCTCCAGAAGAGATGAAAGGGTGTGACTGCATTCGTAAAGAATGGCCTGTGGCTCAGTGGTAGATAATCTTTTCAGCATGCAGAAGGACACAGGTTCAGTCCCTGGCATATCTCATTAAGGGTCAGGGAGTAGGAGATGCAGAAGATGTAGCAGTGCTGAAATTGCAAACTAGGAGGGCTTCAATCAGCAGTGGTTTGTTGCAGTGTCCAGATCGGCTGCTGTAACAAACTGCAGTTTGCCTCTTGCTTACAAACTTCAGTTAGGCCATAATGTACCTGCCATGTAACCTATTAGGTGATACATTTTCTAGGCCAGCTCACAAGACCTGGCCCCATTCTTTCTAAAACAATTACAGTCTGTACAGTGTAAACTGGTGAAACTGAATATAGCTGTTTATTTATCTAATATCTGACGAAGGGAACTTTGACTCTCAGAAGCTCCCCCCCCCCAAAAAAAAAAATCTTGCTGCTCTCTAAGGCACTACTGGACTCAAATCTAGCTATCCTACTGCAGACCAAATATGGCAGCCTTCCTGAAACTATTTATTTTACGACTTCTATCCCACCTTTCGGTCCCCTCCCTTAGATCTCTTCATAAAAAGTAACATGCCTCTGTCTTACAGGGCTCTTTTTGTAGAAAAAGCCCAGCAGGAACTCATTAGCATATTGGGCCACACCCCTGACAGCACAGCTCATTAGCACATTAGGCCACACCCCCATGTTACCAGAAGTGTGGTCATCCAGCCACACCCACCTTTTGCTTGTTATTCTGTTTACCTTGTTTGTTGTCAAAACCCAGGGCCCTTTTTTGTAGCAGGAACTCCTTTGCATGTTAGGCCACACAGCTCGAATGTAGCCAATCCTAATGAGTTTCTGCTGTTGGGTGTGGCCTATTATGCTAATGAGTTCCTGCTGGGCGTGGCCAACTCGGGAGCCAGCCGGAACTCCGTTCCTGTGCGTTCCTGCCCAAAAATAGCCCTGATTAAACATTGATTACATCACTGGCCATATTATCACAGATACATTTCCTGTTCATTGATTAGTTCCAGTATTCCATAAACACCATCAGTAGTTGATTTTATAACTAGGAAGAGGGTATTATGATTGCTCCCTAGGAAACAGAGGGATGTTTTCGTCTGTAGGTGTAAGACGGTTGTCCCTCGTGTCCAGGATATTCTAAACTCTCTGCTGTCCTAGCTGCATAACATTCCAGGTTGAACAGGAAGTGAAAGCTGTTAGCTAGACCACAGTCTGTGTTAAGAGCCTGCCTTGGAGAAACTCTCCTAATGATTTCCTTGCAAATGCCCCATGATCCTTGCAAATGCCCCATGTCTTGGGACCTCCAGTTTAGCTTACAATGGAGGAGACACATAGGAAGATTACTTACTGTGTGATGGGGGTGAGGTGGCATGGATGTGAGGGGAGATGTTCCCTAACGTATCTGCTGTGTGCATGGAGCTTCAGGACACACGTGGAGCTTGGTGGCTTTTCCAAAGGAATCCATGAATGCTGTGCTATTTGCCCAAAGCACCAGCTGTCCTGACCTAGAGACTCCGGAGTGCTCACAGGGCAGCTGATGCACAGGCAGAGCCTTCCGCCTTGAGGCAAAAAAGGGACTTAATAAATTCATCTAACTGGAGCTCCACCCAAGCAAAGCCTATCATTTTATTTTAATGTCTGCAAATGCTGAGCGGTGGCCAGTTCTATCCACCAAGCATTTCTCTGCTTGTTGTGTCTTGCAGTTCCATGTGCACATGCAGGGTTTTTGAGCCCGCGTGTTAGTGGAAATGTGACTGCGAAGTCCTTCATCGACTCTTGAATCTGTCTTTTCTTTTCTTCCACAAAGCGATCCAATTACTTGTACCGACAAGTTCTCCAGTTTGCCAGCCAGTACCCAAACGTGAGAATCACCTCTTGGCGCATGGCAACTATTTGGGGAGGAGCAAGCCTTCTGTCCACCTACCTGCAAAGCATGCGCGATTTAATGGAAATGAAGGACTGGCCGTGGGATTTCTTCATCAATCTCAGTGCAGCTGACTACCCAATCAGGTATAGTGATCAGCCTTTTTGAAGGGTTTCTGTTTCCATTGGCTCAAGGGTCCATCTCAACTGCATCCCCACATCATTGGACATTGCGCTATTAGTGAGTTACAGCAGTTGTTTGCAGCTGGATTTCCCTTTGTGGATAAGACAATCCAGTTGCAGTGTTTGCAGTGTTTGCTGTAGCATACTTCAGAGGACAGCGGGAGCTGGTCCATGGGGTCGCGAAGAGTCAGACTCGACTGTGCGACTGAACAACAACAACAACAACAACTGGTTGCACGGTGTCCAATGATGTGTGGGTGCATCCTTTGTCTGGTTTTCTGGTTCCAACAGCAGCCAATCACATATTGCTGGGAATTTCACATCTTTTGCTGTCGGAAGGACAGGGGTGACTTAACACAACCTTAGTTAATGGGCCTTATCAAACATCTGGGTGAATCTCTGAGTGTTGTTCAGATGGACCCATGCCGTTGTTGCAGGAAGCCAAGGGTACAGGTGAGCCACAGGGCCAGCAAGAAATGGAGTGGCATTACTTCAAGGGATGGATTCCTACCCCTACCCCTAGCATTTTACTACCCCGTTCTGTGATAAGCTGGTAAAAATACAGATATGATTGATATTTAAATGTTGATGCACTGACCCACATCAGAAGGCTGTCTTCATTTTAGCCTGCACCTGTATGATCATGCGCCCTCCTGGGCTTCAGCCAGCGGTCCTCCTGTGGGTCACAGCCTCCACATTCTCTCCCTCTCATTGCCCTGGATCTTCCTTTGGTGCTCAGGGGGGGTCCCTGGCATTGCTGTCTTTCCTTATGAGGCTACACCTGCGTGTCTGTATTATCTGACAACAAAATGGTGGTCAGGACTTGAGGCTCAGGTTTGCAGTGGAAGCAGTAGGAGGCATGGAGCAGTGCAACCAACAGGGGAGATTGCTAGGGAGAAGTGTTTTGTTTGCATTCCCAGAAATATGAATGCAGAAGACATGTTCGTTGATGCTCACAGGTGAGTTCTCCCCTTCCCAATCCCAACCTTTCCCCAGTCAACCATTCTTATCCTTAAGCGAGTCAATTTTTGCCCTTTCCTTAGTGTGAGGTGTGCTGGTTGCTGAAAATGCAAATAGGCCTGAAGTGAGAGTGAGGATTGGTGTATAGCAACCATACATCGCAGTTTCACTGCAGAAAATACTGTTCTTTAGACAGCAGACATTGTTTGCTGTATAAATTGTAGAGATGCCCTGTGTTGTTGCTGTTGTGAAATTCAGAAGAAGCAAATCTCTTTTGCCCTCTGTACTTACTTTCCCTGCCTAGAGAGTGGCTTGCTGTCTTTCCGTGGGGTTGTCCCGTAGAGGTGCTCTAGACCCCAGACATCCTCCGTTCAGCTAAAGAGGACACAGACAGGGTATAAGACTGTCACGATTGTTCTCAGCAACGTCTCAAGGAACGAGGCGCCCCTCGCGTGGTGCTCCCTCCTTTGCCCACCCTTGTGAGCCCTCTGTTTTACTCTCTTTCGTACACAGTTCAAGGGAATTCTCTCTCTCATTGGAGTCTGCAGGTCCTTCCCTAGGTTTGGAGCCTGCCTGCTGGCCCCATCTCACCTAGGGAGCAGTGCTGCTCCCTGCGGCTTGGTCCTCTTGGCCTCCAGGGCCAGAACATTTTCCTTCCTTGACAGCTGTCTCTACTCCCCGCTCGAGTGAGCCGCCTGCAAGTAAATCTTCCCTTGGCTTGTCCTTGGCAGCCTCCGACCCTTGCAGGTCTCCCTCCACCAGCTGGGCCCACCTGTTGAACAGGTTCCAGCCTGGAGCAGGGCAAGCTGCCCCAACCCTGTCTGGGCCCTTTTAAAACTCAGCCAGGTCACCAGCAGCACAGCCCCCCCACACACACACAGCTCTCGTGGCCTCCCTCCCGCCCTCCCAAAGACATATCAGGGAGATTAAATGGTTCATAATATTTTTTTAAAATCCTGTGATGTCCTCCAGAGGGACTTGATAAAATCAGCTCGCTAATGGTTGTTCTTCAAGGAGAGTTCAGTCCAGATAACATGAAAGTCATGGGACTTGCTTAGCGCTGTCATGGGATGCCTTTGCTTATTAGATGCGCTCCAGAGTACAGCTTGTCCTGGACAGTGTGCTTGCGGGCAGGAAGAAACGCTCTTTTTGGGTGCTCCCAGTTGATTTATTCTGTACTCTCACCCGGAGATACCCGAAGGCCTGGATCACGGAGGTTGCCTTGAACTTTCCAGTGCTGCCTACTCAGAGGCACGGTGGGGAATACAGCAGGATGGCACTGAGCTGTAGCCTGACCACGTGAACAAGACAGCCAGTGTATTTGCAGACACTGAAGAATGCATCCCTGCTGCCTTCCAGTTCCAAGCCAGCACTGTTGCCTTTCCAGGGTGGAGCCACGTGTTTGGTTGGTACTCACCTGTGTATGCTCATGTTCATTCCTGGCCCTTGTTACAAAGTACAGTTTCCCAGGAATAGCTTACACCCTTGGCTTCTGTAACCTTTAAGCTGGGTAGTCTCTGCCCCTTCCTTCACATGTGTTGGTTGCAAGACATGCAAATAGGCCTGAGATGAAATATTGTATTGGTGTTGTGGCTACCAGTGTCATGTATAGACCAGTGTCCTAAGGGTAAAGCGGTCCTCTTGCCCTGTTCAGTTTCTGGGGAGGGAAGAGGCATTTCTGAGTGTGAAGCTCTTCTCTCCCAAAGGGAAGGTTGAAAGCTTCCCAAACCCTGCCTTTGGTGTAGAGCCAGTTTGGTGTAGTGGTGTAGTGGACTCTAATCTGGGAGAACCGGGTTTGATTCCCCACTCCTCCACTTGCACCTGCTGATGTGACCGTGGGTCAGTCACAAGCTCTGGCACAGCTGTCCTTGAGAAAGAGCAGTTTGTGTCAGAGTTCTCTCAGCCCCACCCACCTCACGGGATTTCTGTTGTGGAGAGGGGAAGGGAAAGGAGTTTGTAAGCCACTTTGAGACGCCAAGTGAAGGGCGGGGTATGAATCCAATCTCCTCTCTTCTTCTTCTTCTTTACCCATGCTTCCTCTCGACTCTCATGCCGTATTGCTTCCACCTGTGCCAGCAGAGCAGTTTAGCAGGAGAAGACAGGCAAACATTCAGAAGTGTTGGCCTTTATTATATAAGAAATCGTGTGATTCATTCGTTGCTTCCCACCCACACCCAGTGTCCTCTGTACTTTTTCCCTCCGTGTCCATTTTCAGTCGATACTAGAATCCGGGTTTAAGGAGCAGCCATGGGACCAGGGCTCAGCAGGTGGCAGCAGCTTAGCAAGCAGGACATCCTTCATTTGATTCCCAACATTTCCACTTAAGAGGATCTGGTAGGAGAGGACGATGTTTACTGGGGAGCCACTGCCAATCTGAGTAGACCGTCCTGACCGTGGCAGACCAGTGGTTTGACGCAGCACCCTTGTTGTGTGCATCTGTGCATCTGTCTGTAAGAAAGAGCCAGCACGCATTCCCTTTACAACTAAAACTGAGGAGCAGTGCCTGGAGAAGTGTAGGGTTTAAATCATGCGTTGATTATAAGGCAAGAATTACTCAGTTCTCATACAAAGAGTTGCATGAGAATTGTACTTACGTGTTGAACTTAACATGTTCACTGTAACATGTCTACAGGCTCAGTATAAGGCAAGCATTCATGTTAAGGCTTAGGATCAGGCTGAGTTGCTACAAATTCCCGGCCCAGAATTGAGGGAACAGACAAATGCATGCATGGGGGGGACCAAGCTGGGCTACCTTCGACTGAAACTTAATTGAGAACAAAATAGCAGTATATCTCCTTCCACGTGAGAATGATTCCCCATTGTATCCTCTTGACTGCCCAAGAGATCAGGCCTTGCTGCTTGAGATCCTTGAACTGAAGCCGGTGCCCTGCCGCCGAAACACAGGGTCTCCCTAATATGCATATGACATCACCCTGCCAACCAAAGTCCGCATGGTCAAAGCAATGGTATTCCCAGTAGTCACGTACGGCTGCGAGAGTTGGACTATAAGGAAGGCCGAGCGCCGAAGAATAGATTCTTTTGAACTATGGTGCTGGAGAAGACTCTTGAGAGTCCCTTGGACTGCAAGAAGATCAAATCAGTCAATCCTCAAAGAAATCAACCCTGACTGTTCCCTGGAAGGCCAGATAATGAAACTGAAGCTCCAATACTTTGGCCACCCAATGAGAAGGGAGCACTCACTGGAGAAGACCCTGATGCTGGGAAAGATTGAAGGTCAGAGAAGACGGGGACGGCAAAGGGTGAGATGGTTAGACAGAGTCATAGATGCAACGAACATGAAATTGAGCCAACTTCAGAGGATGGCGGAAGACAGGAAGGCCTGGCATGATCTGGTCCATGGGGTTGCGAAGAGTCGGACTCGACTGTGCGACTGAACAACAACAACAATATGCATATGAAGCAGCCTAATATGGAGTCGGCCCACCTAGCTCAGCACTGGCTCCTCTGAGTGGCAGAGGCTGTGTCCCCATGGCGGGGATATTGTGCGTGCCAAGCAAGCACTGTGCTGCCAAGCCACCTTCCCTCCTGCACGAGATCCTCTCTGATCTAACCAATTGCCTAAGACTTGTATCAAAGAGCTGCAAGTGTTCTAAATTTTAATCTCTCATTAAACTCTCCTGAGTATAAGTGATATCTTGGAAGTCGACGAGCAGGGAATAGATTGGTTATAGAAGGAGATGCAAATACTTCATCTGAAAAAACAAGTGAGGTAATTTAGATAACAAGGCTCAAATTAGCTATGCTGCAATTAATATTACCTGTGTCTGTCTCGGGGAACGTTCTCCTTAAAAAGAAACTGTTCCTGTGCCATGAAGTTGAGGACATTTTGTGTTTCTGACCTCTATCGCTGTTGCCTTTGGTAGGTTTTCTTTTCTGTTAATTCCATACAGAAGGAACCCAAGCCCCAGCTTCCTGACAAAAAGGCAGAAAGGCCCATGCAAAGGAGGGGGTCTCCACCTACCGGGTCCCTCCAACTCTTAGAAGCACATATTCAGG